CCAACAGCTCAGTCAACTAACTGGATCTTTCTGATTTCTCCTTCTCTAAGTGATCACCACCCATCTGTTTAATAGCTCACTCCATGATCTTGCTGCGGATGGGTGCCAACCTCAATAGTTTAGCTTTTGTGGAATCCACCTTCCTCACCATTAAAAAAAAAAAGAAATTACAACAACAATCCCAAACATCTAGTTCCTCATCTCTTCTCTACTCTTCCTCCAAGATCGTACAAGAAGAGAAGCAACATGGTCTTGGATAGAGAGAGCCTTGGATTTGGAGTGAATGTAGCTGGGTTTGAAATGCAGTTCTGCTTTTTCTTGTTCCAATGACCTCAGAGAAGTCACTTTTCCATCTCTGGGTCTCAATTTCCCCTTCTGTAATGTGAGGAGATTGGTGTCATAGCCTCTGAGGTGCCTTCCAGTTCTAGTTTCTTAGCACCAAGGGCCATGGTCAGCTTGTCGGCTCTTTTTGGTGGCCAGCCAGATGAGCAGTGTGAAGACAAGTCATTTCAACTTTTAGGTTCTTAAGACTTGGATTCATTGAATGTCATTAGGACTTCTCATTCTCTCTCCTTCTTCACAACTTCACTTAATCCCAGGTGGAAGGCACCTCTCTTGAGCATGCCTTTTTGTTCATGTTTATTGGCTCTCCTCTAGTAGAAAAATCATTCTTGTTGATAGAAAATAGAGAAGTAGAATGGGGCCCTGAGTCGTGGTTTCCTCTAGATGTCTGTTAATGTTATGCCATTGCCCCAAGCTGATAAGCCCTATTACTTCCTTGTTTTCTTCTAAAATAGGTGACTTGTTATTTTAAAATTAGTTTTAGCTTCAGCTTTCCCAGTCCAATCCAGTCTTTCAAACACTACAACAATCTCGACCTCAAAATGTAATTCTTCACAGATGGAATAAACCAAGGTTGACCTGCTCTGGTTCCATGCCTTTTCATCAGTCTCTCCTGGCTACATTGTAAGCTCCTCTAGGGCAGTGAGGGAATTAAAGAGCAATTGATTAATTGTGGGAATTGAGTGACCACACTGGCTCTATCTTGTGACTCAATTCTGGATCGAGCTCATTTCCCTTTTTATTCATTTATGAGTCTAGTCCGATTTATTCAATTATGGGAATTATGAGAAAACTTTAATGCATTATTGATCTTAGCCTAGCATGGCTAGGAAGCTGGATCATCCTTACCTGCTGCTCAGAGGCCCTTCACGAACCACCTCAGTTATGCTGACCAGAAACCTGGTCAGACCCAAAGACTGATGCACGGAGTTTTTTCACAATTGTACATCTCAAGTAAGCCATATGTCTTATCTGAAAACTGGTCCCTTGCTGCGCAATCAGTTATTGTTTCCATGTTCCTTTGATTATTCATGGACGCTTGGGGGGGGAGTGGGACACCTCACTCTCTGAATTCAAAGAATTGAACCTTTTTTTTTATCTCTACCTCCCAACTTGGAAAATCCCTAATCTTTCCTCCAATTAGAAGTCAGATTACCTAATTTTGTATCTTGGTTAATTGTTTTCTTTTAATTAATTGATTTTATTTGATTGTTTTTAGTACATAAAAATCTATCTTACTCTGTATTCAGGGTCTTTGGACTGACAGGGAGTCCATTGATTCATTTATTATTCCTGTTTGCTTAATAAGTCATGTAACTGATTGTTTCCTTAATTATTATTAATTATTTGCAACAGCAGGAGCTATTCAACTTTTGGATTTAAATCACCAAATCAAGTTGAATCAAGTTGTCAAGTCAGCAAGCATTTATTCAGCACCTACTATGTGTCAGGTACTGTGCTAAGCGCTTGAGTTACCAAGGAAGGCGAAATGAGCTCCTGCCCTCAAGAAGTTTATAATGTGATGTGGGAGACTGTGCATAAGAAGACAGATAGGATAAATTGGAAGTGCATTGTAAAAGCTGAGCACAGTGCCTGGCACACAGTAGGCACTTAAATACTTGTTCACTGAAAACTGGAATGTGAAGCCAGAGGCCTGGGTGCTAGGGTGACCTCTGTCACTGACCCATTGTTTGATGTTGAGGCCAAGAACCTTTTTCTTGTTATATCTTCATCTGTAAGATGCAGAGCTTGAGGAAATGACTTTTAAGGTCCCCAGCACTTAGCACAATGCCTGGCACATAGTAGGTACTTAATAGAGATTTGTTGACTGACTGTGTGTTAGTCTGTTAGTCTCTTCCAGTTGTCACATTCTGTGTTCTACATTCTAAGGCCCCTTCCAGGTCTGAAATCTTGTGCTCTGTGTTCCAATATGTTCCCTTCTGCTCTGACATTCTGTATTCTCCATTTAAAATATTCTAAGGTCCCTTTCCACTCTGATATCCCATCTATCTGCTGTAGATTCAAAGGCAGGAAAGATAGAAAAATCAAGGACCCAAGACTTGGTCATCCACTTCACTCTTGGAGAACAGTAGGTCCTTTCTGCCCCTTGAAAGTGACTGTTCTGGACTGGAATGTGGTCACTGTGAGAGACTGAAGCAGAGATATTGCCCTGGCCCCTCTGGCCTCACTTTGATAGGATGCTGCCTTTTTCCCACCGGGGCTTCTGTACACAGGGAGTGTTCCTCCTTGTGGACAATGAATGGGGGTTGAAGGTCCCTCGCACCTGCTGATCGGAGGGAGGAGTGAAATCTCCTTCCACAGGTGGAGAGTGAGGAGATCTGGATTCCAGGGCCAGTGTGGTTCCTGACTCCTTGGAACTCTGATCCCCTGTCTAGGTCTTCATGGCTTCAGCAGTAAAACGAGGGAGTAAGGAAGGATGATTTCTCAGGTATCTTTGGATCAGGCACACAGTGTTTGGAAGGCTTTGACAAGGAGGGAATAAACATTTATGACAGCACCTACAATGTGTCAGGCACTCTACTAAATACTTTTCAGATATTACCCCAATTTGATCTTCTAAACAACTGTGCAAGGTAGGTGCTATTATTATCCCCATTTTACAGTTGGGGAAACTGAGGCAAAAAGAAGTTTAAGTGACTCGCCCAGTGTCGTAAAGCTAGTAAGTGATTTGAATTTAGCTCTTGTTGATTCCAGGCCCATTGCTCTAACCACTATGCCAACAGCTGTCTCTGTCTCTGTCTTTTCAATATTCTGTATTTTATGTTCTAAGGCCCCTCCCAGCTCTGACCGTCCATGTTCTAAGGCCCCTCCCAGCTCTGACATTCCCTGTTCTAAGGCCCCTCCCAGCTCTAACATTCCCTGTTCTCAGGTCTCTCCCATATTCTTAGGTTCTATGCCAGTAGGGAATCTACAGAATCACTCTCCTACTGTGCCTCCTTGGAGGCCAGTTCTCCAGCTTTTTCAGAACAGCCCATTTTCATGGCTCCATGGCAGAGCACATGAGCAAAGCAAGCCCCATGAATCATCAAAGGGCAGACACGAAAGGGACTTCAGGGACCATTTAGCCCCATGCTTATAGATCAGGACACCAGAGCCAGGGAGAGCATGGGATTTGTGCCAGGTCCCACAGCCGATCAACCAATCAACAAACAAACATTTTATTAAATGCTTCACTTGTGCCCATTTCATTTGTTAATGCACCAAGTGGGGAGGGAGAATCCAAGGGAAAAAAAATTAAATAGCTGCTACCTTTAAGCAGCCTGAATTCTCACATGGGAGAAACTGTATACATTTTTAAGTATACTGTGGTCAGAATACATACAAGATATATACTTGGTAGTTTGGGGAGGGAGGGCACCAACAACTAGGTGGAGGAGGGAGGGCAGGGGATGCCAGGAAGGATTCCCAGTAAGCAAGCGTCAGAGCTGGAGTTGAAGGCAAGACTTTGAACTCTTGGGCCAAAACCTTTTCCATTAAAATGGAACTCTTTCAACTCTACTCAATTTTCCTTTTATGGGGTGTATGGCCAGACTAGGGCTTAGCTTGGGTCTGTTTCTCCTCATCTTGTCTTTAGTAGAAAGAGGGGCCAGCTAGCTATTTATTCCCCCCATCCCCAACATTCTTCAGCCTCTTGGACATTTTTCTCTTCATTTTTAAAACTCCCAGACCTGACTCCTGAGTGATGGGGTATTATCTGGAACTTTGGAAACCATACCCAGATTTGCCCTCTTTTTTGGGGTGGTATGGTGGCAGACCATTTTTACCACTAACACCAATCTACCTGGAATTTGTCTCCATCCTTCAATGTACAATTCAGGTGCCACTTCCCTTGGGCAGCCTTCCCAGGAACTACTCCCTTTGGACCTCAGGTAACACTTAGTGTGAAGAGTCAAGGATGGCTCTGAAGTTACAAACTTGGGTGCCTAGTAGGATAGAGTTGACTTCAACAGAAACAGGGAAGCCTGTAGGAGGTACCAGCTTGGGGGAGTGAGGAGGAGGAGGTGGCAGAGGAAGAATGTTAGGTTCAGTTGAGCAAATTATTTACGTATTTTGTTTTCACATCACTGACATTTCTAAATCTCTCTTCTTATTCCCTACACAAGCCACTGCTTGTAACAAAGAATAACAAGAAAGAATAAAAAAATGAGCAATACAACAAAACTAACCAACAGATTGAATCTGACATGCAGCATTCAGCACCCATACATAGTCTCCCACCTCTACAAAGAAGCGAGTGTAGTACATTCTTTCATACTCTCCCCAGGGACAGGCTTGGTCACTGTGCAGTCACTGTGCATGATTCCCCTCCCCCTTCTAAATATTACTTACTACACTCTGTATCAGTTCAGGTAATTCTTCTCATGTTTCTCTGCCCTTTTCATACTTATCATTTCCTTTGGTGCAGTAATATTTCATTCTATTCACATTCCACAATTTGTTCATCCTTCCCCCAACTGATGATGGCCTAATTTGTTCTCAGTTATTTGGTTTCTTTTTTTGTTTGTTTCGTTTTTTGTTTTTTGGGTTTTTTTTTTTGCTAGGCAATGGAGCTAAATGACTTGCCTAGGGTCACAGAGCTAGTAAGTGTCAAGTGTCGAGTAGGTGTCAAGTCTGAGGCCAGATTTGAACTCAGGTCCTCCTGGCTCCAGGGCCAGTGCTCTATCCACTGCCACCTAGTTGCCCCCATTCCCAGTTATTTGTGACCACAGAAAAGGGCTGAGATGAATATTTTGGTGTCAAAACCCCCTCTATTAGTGATCTACATTCTGGAGCTTTTTGTGACCTCCAGAATGTAGATCACTAATAGAGGGGTTTTTGACTCAGAGGGTATGGGCATTTTAGAGGAAAATATAGAGGTGTTGATATTGTTGGGTTCATGGAGCAAGGATCCCTTGTCTAAAGTCCAGCCACTGTGTGATTGGGATTCCATCTGGCTCAGACATGTGTAGCCCTGGCCCCTTTCCTTTCTGGATGCCTCGCCTCTTCCCAACCCTTATCCTTTCCTCTCTCTCTCTTCCAATGGGCCCCTCCTCACCTCTGGTCTCTCAGCTTTCTCCCCTGAAAGCTGAGTGTGAACCCCACCCCCCCTTTAATGATGGGAACTGGTCAAACTGTGAAAGCTTCTCTAGGGACCAGTTAGAGGTAGTGAGGTACAGAGGATAGGGCACTAGATCCGGAGTAAGAAAGACCTGGATTCAAATCCAACCCAAGACACTTTCTAGCTATGTGCCTTGGGTTCCTCATGCATAAAAATGAAGGGCTTGGATTCAATGGCCTCTGAGATTTCTTCTAGGTCTACAGTCTAGGACTTGGTGATTTTCCCTTTTCCAAGGGCTGGAGGTTTCTTACAGGGCGTGATCTTGTCATAAACATCTGCTTCGGTGACGTGCAGAGCCTGGAGTCGGGAGAGAGAAGATGTCAGGGACATCCAAGGCCCCCCTCTTCCTAGTTCTGTTTTGGACCTTCTGGACTTCAAAATTCTACCTGTGCTGCTGTCTCCCCCAGAAACTTTGCTCAGTATCTACTGCCTCCTTGCCCTGATCACTCTCCCACCTGTGAGACCTGCTCATCATCCCTCCACAAGACCCGTTCCCTTTCTTCCATCCATGAGTACTTCCTAGAGCCTACAGTTTGTGAAAGGGCACAAGCTCACTTGCCTTCATTCCCCTCCTGGCCCTATTTCTGACCTTCTGGACTTCAAAACCACGCTATCTTATTGGGTTACTTCCTTTCCTCCCATTTTTCCTTCCTTCCCTTATTTTCAGCTGAATGTGAACTCCTCGAGGACAGGGATGATTTTTTTGGGGGGGGGCTCATATTTGTATCCCCACTGCTTAGCACAGGGCCTGACACATAGTAGGTGCTAAATCATTATTTGTTTCCTTGCTTCCAAGGAGGGAAGTGGGCACTGAGAGGGTCTATTTCCCCATTTGTCTTCTTCCCTCCATGCTGGTCCTGTTCCTGGGCCCCATAATTAACCAGCATTTTTCTCCTCTCTGTCAGTCCCCAGGGGAGGCCTGGTGCCTTCCTTGTGTGTGTACCTGGTAGATATTCTCAGAGGCAGCAGAGGAGGAGCCCTGGGCCTGTGGAGTGGGAAAAAGCAGCCTGGTCAGAGACAAATAGGACATCAGAGGTTGAAAGGACTTTAAGGAACTTCAGAGCTGAAAGGGTACTTAGAATAGGGAATGTCAGGGCTGGGAGGGCCCTTAGAACAAGGAATATCAGAGTTAGGAGAGACCTTAGAATAAGGAATGACAGAGCTGGGAGGGGCCTTAATCAATCCATCTGTCAATTAGGCCACAAGCATTTATTAATCCCTTTCTATGTGCCAACCACTGCTCTAGGCACCATGGATACAATAACAATGATAGTCCCTGCTCTCAAGATAGTTTATATTTGAGCTGAGCCTGGAAGGGAGACAAGAGGTTGTGTGGAGAGGAGGTAGTGTATTCTGGGCATAGGCACTACCAATACAAAGCCCTGGAGGCAGGAGATGAACATCTGATGAAGAGTAACAAAGTCGGGTTTGGGGAGCTGTCAGTTGTATGAAAGGGAGGAATGTGTAATAGGATAGGAAAGGTTGTGTGGAGCCTGTGTGAAGGACTTTGAAGACAAACAGAGGAGTTTTTGTCTGATCCTTTCTCCCTCTTCAATTTGGCATCTTCGAAGACTCCCTGCTAAGCTTAGCCCTAGCACCAACTTTTGCAGGAACACTTTCTTGATCCTCTCCCCACCTCCACTTCTAGAGGTAATAGGGAGTCATTGAAGCTGCTTGAGCAGAGAGTTATATGGTCAGGGAAAATCACTTTGGTAGCTGTATGGAAGGCTGATTTCAGAGAAAAGAGACAAGGCAGGGAGGCCAATTAGAAGGCTTTTGTAATCATGCAGGCCAGAGGGGATGAGGCTCTGAATGATTGTGGTGGCTGCCTGGGTGGGGAGAAGTTACATGGGAGAGATTTTGTCAGGGCAGAAATGATAAAACTTAGCAACTGGCTATGTTGGGCAAGTGAGAATGAGAAGAGGACAGTGACCCCAGGGATGGGAGCCCTAGGACTGGGAGGATAGTGGGACCCTTGACAGTAACTGGGAAGTTAGGAAGAGGGGACAGTCTGGAAGGAAAGAGAGTGAGGTCTATTTTGGTTATGTAGAGTATGACATGCCTACGTAGTGTCCAGTTTGAGAAGTCTATGAGTAGTGTTAATGATAGAGAGCTGGGTTTGTTCGTCCTTCATTCTCAAAGAGAATGATGTCACAGGACAATGTCTTGACTTATGCATGGATTGGATGTAAGTGAGGTAGAGCTGCACAAAGTCATCAGCTTCGCTCTCCTCTAGAGCCATCGGAGTCCAGGGGCAAGACAAAAGTCGAGACAACTGGTGATGGCTCTGGAGATGTGGGCTATTATCTTCATTGCGAAGGTAACTGAGCTTAGAGTTGAGAGGGATCTTAGGATATCGACTATCATTAGAGCATAGAATGTTCGAGTTGGGAAGGACTTAGAACACAGATTGTCACAGATTAGAAATTACTTACCTCTAAGGAGGAGCAGGAACTCTTCCCTGCCAAGGCATCCCATTCCACTTTCAGACACATCTAACAGGACTTTTTTTCTTCACATGAAGTCTAAACTTCCTTTTCTACAACTGCACCTATTACTACCAGTTATATGTCAGGGTATATTCTTACCTCTGGGGCCAAACAAAGGTGAATTCTGCTTCCATATGACCTGCCTTCAGTTAATCAAACATGGTGTTCATATCTACTCCCAAACCAAGTCTTTTCTTCTCTGTATTGGTTGCCACAAGTTTTTTCCATTGATTTGTTCAAATGGTATGACCTTGGGGCCCATCACCCTTCTGAAGACTCTTTACTGGATGCCTTATAGCTCATCAGCATTCTCCAGTGATTATCCCATCCAAACTCTCAGGGCCTACAAGTGTCTCCAGTTTTGGGTGAAGGGCTTCCTTCCCACCCCCATGATTGTTGTTGTTGAGACATTTTCACTGATGCCAGACTCTTTGTGACCCTTGTTTTTGGGTTTTCTTGGCAAAGACGCTGGAGTGGCTTGCAATTTCCTTCTCCAGCTCATTTTAAAGATGGCAGAAAGGGCTAAGTGACTTGCCCAGGGTCACAAGCTAGTAAGTGCCTGAGGTTGGATTTGAACTCAGGTCTTCCTGACTCCAGGCCTGGAACTCTGTACACTGTGCCATTTAGCTGCCCCACACCATGATAGACACTCAAAAATCCCTGAAGAAAGTGCCTGAAGGACACCCTTTGTCCCTACCTGTGGAAGCCGAGGGCAGCCTTGAAGCAAAGCATTATTCATGTACAAAGTGGAGTTGTCACCTGGAGGGAAAGAAATCCAGACAGAAGATCTTGGTGTCTTGGAATGCCATGAGAGAATGACTAGGTAGAGAAGGAAGTGGGGGGAAGCTAGGTGGCATAATGAATAGGGGACTGGACCTGGAGTCAGAAAGATGAGTTCAAATCTAGCCTCACAAACCCTGAGCAAGTCCTTTAACCTTCATTTGCCTCAGTTTCCTCAACTGTAAAACGGGGATAATAATGGCACCCATCTCCCAGGGTTGTGGTGAAGATCCAATGAGTTAACTGTAAAATGCTTAGCACAATGTTTGGCATATAGCTGGTACTCAAAAAATGCTTGTTTCATGTATAACCTATATAAAATTACTTGCCTTCTCAATGAGGAGAGTGGGGAGAGAGGAAGAGAATTTGGAACTCAAAACTTTAAAAATGAATGTTAAAAATTGTTTACATGTAATTGGGGAAAAATAAAATACTAAAAGAAAAAAAAGAAAAAAGAAATGCTTGTTTCCTCTCTTCTTTCTTTCCTCACATTCCCTGCAGCTATCTATAGCATATCTATAATCTAAGATTCCAAGGTGGGTCTCCAACAAGGTTTGTATGTTTATGGTTCTAAGAGTCTTTGGTTGTAGAGCCTATAGTTCTAGAGTGTATGGTCTGAGATTCCATGATGGGCTCTTCCTGAGCTCCTCCTCTCAGCTCTGAGTCCTTTTTCTAGAGAAACTCCAGAAAAACATAAACTCCTTAAGGGCAAAGACTGGGTCACTTTGCTCATAAAGTTCTATTCTGATGGGTGCCTCATCATGGCATGGAGGGAACCCCGAGTCCTCCAAGGCTATGCCCTTGAGAAGAGCTTTCCAATACAATTCCAGTAAAAATCTGTACCTATTTTCTGATGACTACCCTTGCTAAATAAGCACATCCAAAGAAATTATCAGGGAGATAATGACCATTTCTGTACCGTCATTAGTTGCAGAGGATGAGGAGATAAAGACATTATACTCAGAACTCAATAAAACCTACCAAATTAAATCAATATCCACTTTCTCACTCAGTGACTTCAATGCCAAGAGCAGGATGAGGGAGGAAAACATGGTTCAGGAATAAGAAATAAAGAGGCTGTTTCTACATTTCAAGAAGAGAATTGGGAGATATTAGATATGACAAGCACCAAATAACATCACAAAATTGGAAACTGATTATGTTCTAACAGAAAGGAAATGATTGGTTACTAGTGTGGTCAGTGTAGGGCCAGATCATAAACATGTTAGAGATAAAAATCAAAAGCAAATTAAAATAAAAAATAAAAATTGGAAGACATAGCATGCAATGGAGGCAATTCTGACCTGACCTTTCTAATGCAGCTGTTGATGCTGAAACATGGGAAATGGATAAAAGAACTAACATTGACATCAATATGGAATATTGCCATTTTTTTTGTTTTTGGTGAGGCAATCAGGGTTAAGTGACTTGCCCAAGGTCACACATTTAGTAAGTGTCAAGTGTCTGAGGCTGGATTTGAACTCAGGTCCTCCTGACTCCAAGGGTGGAGCTCTATCTACTGTGCCACCTAGCTGCCCCAAGAATATTGCCATTTTCTAATGGAATTTAAACAATGAAAATCAATTGCCACAATGAGGAGGCTAAAGGAGCCTAGAAACCCTCGCAACAAACACTTGCCAAAAAGAAAGTTAAGACAATAATGAAGTCTTCAAAAAAAAAGAAGTGGGGTTAAATGAGAAAAAAGAGTTTAAAATATTAGAGAGGAACAACTTTTGTCAGGAAAAAGAAAAAAATGGAAGGAAAAGAAAGAAAAGGACAAGTTTGCACTTAGAGCTCGGATGAATGTTGACTGCCAGAGATGAGTAGTAGCATTAACCAACAGTGAGTTCAATATACACTATCAGCCAGGGAGGTGAAGATACTCTATTTTATAGGTCCCAAGTTTGCATGGCCATTGTCATATCCATGGAAGGGGTGAAGACCATCTGTGACTCATAGGCAGCTAGGCTCCTATGGTTTGAGTGAAGCTGGGTCTGGAACTTCTCCAGGAGGAGGTATCGGAGGAAGCAAAATTTGTAGCTCTTACTCTGTCTCTGCCGTGTTTGATCTTAAATGGCTAATGGCAGGAGCAACTGTAGAATTAAGGCCTGTGTGAGGAGATACAGGCCAAGAAAAGGGGGGATGATCCCCAGAAACTTTGACTTCATTCCTCAGAGGACACCCTACTGTTCAGAGAGGGATAGACGTTGGAGCAAAGTAACGAAGCCCCAGGCTGGACTGCAAGAATTCTAACTAAGGAAAGAGAAAACAATGGATAAGGTCCAAGGCAGACTTCACCATGGGCATGACAGAATTTAGTGCAAACAGATTCTATTGACTCAAGATGGTGGCAGGAAGCGTGAGACCTAAGCTCACTGTGCTCGAAGGAAAAGGCTGCTAGCACTAGCTGGTGTAAGCACTCATTTTACACATGAGCAAACTGAGGCCCAGAGAGCTGAAATGTTTTCCCAAAGGTCACACAGTTACTAAATGGGAACACTGAGTTTCCCCTTTTGTGAAGGGGAAACTCCAAGAAGCTTCAGTGATATGAGGATGAGAATGTAAGTCCCCCTGGTACGTCATACAGTATAAATTATCAGGGTAGAAAGGGCCCTCAGAGACTGTCTAGTCCAACAGCTTAATTTTACATTTGATCTAATTGAGGCCTGAAGAAGGGTGGGGACTTGCCCAAAGTCACACAGTCAATCAATGACCAGTTGCCATTTTTATTTTTTCTGCAGCATCACACTGCCTGTCAGAGGCCATACTCACCTTCTTTCTGGGCTTGACGAATCCTCCTTCCTAGAATTGGATTTCTTAGGATACCTCGAGAGTCCCTGTAACAGTGGGACAGGAGAACCATGAATAATCATCTTCCTTGGGGTCCCTTGGCTTGGGGGTAAGTGAAAGGGAGGTCCCTGGATATTTGGGAGGGTCCAATAGCCACGAAGAGGGGATGTTAACAGCCATCCCTTGAGACTCTGATCCGTGCCACCAACAATTTGCTGGTCATATCCTCCTAGATTAAGGTCTCAGTGGCTTCTTAGCCTCCTGAACTCACCATTTCTCACACGTATTTTGCCTCCATGCATACTCTCTACCCCTCAACTTCCTTATTTTTGCTGAAAATGCTATCATCCAGGCTGGGAACTGCAGGTCAGATCTTCTCTTTCCCTTGAGCTCCATCCAATCCTTGCTCTGTCAATTCTCTCAATCAGCCTCTGCTTTCCATTTGTGCAGTCCCTGCCCTAGTTTGGGATTCCATCTCCCCATCTAGACTTTTATAAGATCTTCCTAACTGCTCTCTCTACTTTCTGTGTCTCTGCTCTCCAGTCCATGCTTCCCACAGCTGATCAAAATTCTTCTAAGGCTCAAGTCTGTCCCTATCACTCCCTTGCTCAAGCACTCTACAGGGCATGCTGGCCTATAGGACAAAACACAAGCCCCTGAGACTGGCATTCAAAGTCCTTTCCCTCTGGGCTCTGACAGTGAGACTGATGACTTGCTTCCTTAGTGCTTCTCTTCATACAGCCCAAGATCACTGAGATTTTTCAGCGGCCACGTCAAACTGTTGATTCCTACTGAGCTTTCAGTTCATGAAAACTCCCAGATTTTTTCAGATGAACCCATGTCTAGCCATACCTACCCCATCTTTTTCACTTGTGAGATTAACTTTTTGAACCCAATTGTAAAATTTTACACTCAACCATATTAAAATTATTTCTTCCTTCCCTCCCTCCCTTCTTTTATTCCTCCTTTATTTTCTCCTTCCCTCCCTCCCTCCCTCCCTTCCTTCTTTCCTTCCTTCCTCCCTCCTTTTCTTCCTCCCTCCCTTCCTCCTTTCCTTCTTTCCTCTCTTCCTCCCTCCCTTCCTTCCTTCCTTCCCTCCCTCCCTCCTTCCTGCTGCATCTCTGCCTTAGTGAACCTTGGTTCCTTTGTTTTGGGGGGCAAGGTAGAGCTGGGATGATAGTAAGGTCTCCTTCCCTACCTTCCCTCCACTGAGGAAGTGAGAGACTGGTTTTAAGAGATGATTAAGTGTGGGGGAGGAGAGGGGAAATGAAAAACCTAGAGAAGAGGAGAAAGAGACTCCAGAAGTGGGCCAGAGTGCAGAGAAACAGGAGTTTTGGAAAGGAAGTGAGGCCAAGGCATAGAAGCTACTGCATGGAGCTGGGAGTGCATTTCTGTTACTAGGGAGGTTGAGGCTGGTAGATTGCTTGAGCTCGGGAGTTTGGAATGGTAGTGCCCTAAGTCGATTTCTTATATTTGTTTTCAGTGCTGTCTAGTGCTGAAGGAAGGCACTTGGGGAGTGAGTGCCTTTCAGGCTGCTTAAGGCAGAGTAGACTGGCCCAGGTAGGAAATGGAGTTGGTTGAAAGTCTCCAGGTGATCTGCCCATGTGTGACTGGCACTTCCAGCCTGGGTGAGGTAAGGAGACCCAGTATAAAAAAATAAATGAGGAGAGGGAGTGGAAGATAGTTTAGAGTTCTCTCCTCCAATTTGAGGAGAAGGTCTTGGAGAGAGGGAAAACCAAGGAAATCCCATCCTACCGTCCAATCTTTCTGATGCACAGAATATAGATGAAGGCCCCAAGGATAGCCACCTCAGTCACAGCTCCAACCAAAATGCTAACTTTGATAATTCCTGTGGAATGCAGATCCGCTGCAGAAAAGGACAGGGAAAATGAATAAGCATTTATTATGCGCCTACGATGTGTCAGGCACTGTGCTAAGCACTTTCACAAACATCTTCACAACAACCCTGGGAGGTAGGTGCTACTGTGATCCTCATCTTATAGGTGAAGAAACTGAAGCAGACAGGTTAAGTGACTTGTCCAGAGTAATATAGCTAGTAGGTATCTGAGTCTGGATTTGAACTCAGGTCTTCCTGCCTCCAAGACCAGTGCTCTATCTACTTCTCCACCTAGCTGTCTGAGAAAGAAGAGAAAAGGAGCTTCTATTGATATTTATTGGGTGTGGGTGTAGGGAATTGGAGGAGCCCAGGGAAAGATTCCCTCTGTAAAGCAGACTTGGCCTGTGCACCTTACACACTGTCCCTTGGTAGGGTTGCATTGTCAGCATCTGGAAAGCTTCCAGGGACACCTGAGTATAGGACAGCACATTAGATCCAACATGCCTGCCATCGAGCTCATTGGGTTCCCCCAAACTGGTCTCCCCTTCTTTGTCCTCCTCTCCTATTTTTCTATCCCTGAAATTTGAACTAGAATTCTCTTTGAATTTAACTATCTGCCCTGTCCCTCCGCTCCCATATCTAATCAATGGCTATGATGTTTTCCTTAATCTCATAGGTATTTGTGCAGATTCTGGTCCCTTTTTTCTGCTTCTATGACGGGTCTTCATCTCTTCTTCCCTAGACTATAGCAATAACTCCCCCCCTGGTCTTCCTGGGCTCTTGACTTTCTCCAATCCATCCCTCCCACCACCTCCTAAATAATCTTCCTAACTCCCTATTGGGACCATGTGACTCCTCTACCCCTGAATCCTTCAATGGCTCCCAATGTCTACAGAGTAAATGTCAAACTCTGATCCTGGCATTCAAAGCCTTTCACAATCTGGCTTCCACCAACCTGTTGGATCCTTTGATATATTTCAGTGTTCCATCTGTATTCGATTATTCTACAGCCTCATTATCATGCAACCTTCTGTCTCTATGCCCTTGCTCAATCCATCTCCCATGTCTTGAACCGACTTCTCCTCTCCTTTCCCCAACATTTCCTTCAAGGTTAAACCCTGGCAGCTGCCTCTTTTAAGAAGTCTTTCTTGGCTCCCAGAACTTTCCCCACTTAATTAAATTAAAAGCACTACGGAGAAGCAGCAACCACCCACATATCTGGGGCCCTTGGACTTCCTATACTTTTTCTTATAACAACCCTGTGAAACAGGGAATGCCAGGATTAGTAGCCCCACATTACAAAGGAGGAAATGGAGGCTCAGGGAGGTGATGTGACTTGCTTGTTGAATGTCAGAACTAAGATTTGACTGCTGGCTTCCTGACCCCAGATCTAGAACTTTCCCCACTGTATTATGTAGCCCAATCTAGCATGAAGTTAGGGTTAGAACCTGGGACAGCTCATTCCTCTTTTTCTTGGCAATGGGTCCCAGCCATTCTGTTGCTTCTGGTCTTTCCTCTGCTAATTATCTACAATTTATCTTCTATAGCTTATTTGTATGTAGCTGTTTGCATGTTATTTCTCTTATTGGATTATAAGCTCCTTGAGGGCAGGGACCATCTTTTGCCTCTTTTTGTATCCCCAGCACTTAGCACAGTGCCTGGCACACAGTAGGCACTTAATAAGTGTTTATTGATTGACTGATTGGTGAGAACCCATTGAGAGGAAGGGGCATGGTATGTTTCCTTTCTCAGATTCGGCTCCTCCCTTGGGCTCCCTCATTGCCCTTTTTCTTCCTGGGCCGCTGAGGGAGTCTGGGAGCCTGAGCTTCTTTTCCCCAACCTCCCCAACCTGCCCCCTTCCACAATATTCCATGCTGTGCTTAGTACTCATGAGGTGCCCAGTAGGGCTTGTGAATGACAGCCCAGCAGGGCCCTCTCCCAGCTGTGACTTACTCTGGCACCCTTCCCACTCCAATCCAGCCAGAGAATTGTGGTGAGTGCTGCCGCTCAATATGAGGAAGCAAATACAGGGACACCTGTAGCTGCCAGTTATGACTGCTCCCCACCCTGCAGATGCCAGAATCTCAGTAAGAAAAGCCCTCAGGTGGCCTCTGTAGCACTTTCTACTTTCGAGTTTCTATGGCTCTGTGCCTCAGAAATAATCTAATTTAAACCACAGCAATAGTAATCCCTTCTCCAATTTCCCTGACAAATCATCAGCCAGCATTTCCTTGAATACCTCCAGGAATGGGGAGCTTACCACCTATGGTGATAGTCCATTCCCTGATGGATGGCTCTCATTGTTGTGGTCCTTATTTGGAGCCCAAATAAGTTTTCCTGGGGTTTTGCCCTACTGCATAATCGACTAAGCTATGGGGTCATCATCTCCTCCAGCTGAGGCTCAGCCAGTCCCCTCTTTGAGAAGCCTGGACTCTTTCTGGCTGTTTCCCAGGAGGATGGAGTCAGACTGGTCCATAACTCTGATTCCAACCTCACCCCCTCACCCTAAAACACACGCAAGTGTTCACCCCACCCTGTCCCCTAGATCTGGCTCCTCCCCCTCCAGGCACTGGGAGTCCAGGCATGAGGCTGGATCTGGCTGATCTCGGGTCCCAGGCAGCCAGTCTGCTGGGAGCCCTAGGGGAGAAAGCTATGCCAGGCTGGCAAGTGAATCCCCCAAGAAAGGCTCCTCTCTTCCGTGGTCATTGACATACCCTACATTAGGACAGCTTTAGGAACCCTGAGCCTGTCCTGGTAGAGTGGGCAGGGCCAGTCCAGCTCCTTATCCTGACCAGGGCAATTGACGAGAGGAAGACAATTGACTGGCTTCCCCTTATGGTGTTCAAACCCAGCCATACCACTTATTGCTTATGTCCCCTGGGGCAATTCCCTTATCCTCTCTGGGCCTCAGTTTCCTCATCTGTAAAATTAGAGCCTTGAGCTAGGTGGCTCAGTGGATAGAGCACTGGGCCTGGAGTCAAGAAGACCTCAAATCCAGCCTCAGACGCTTATTAGTTGCGTGACCCTGGGCTAGTCACTTCCTTCCTGCTTGCTTCAGTTTCCTCATCTATAAAATGGGGATCATAATAGCATCCACCTCCCAGGGTTCAAATGAAATAATAATTGTAAAGTGCTTAGCATAGTGCCTGGCAAGTAGTAGGCACTATATAAAGTTAGCTATTATTATTATTTTCAAGGGATTCTGTTGAACTATTTTTACCCACAGAGGACTCAAGCATCCCCTGACTGACTGTCCCAGGTTTTCTAATGAGACTAAGGCAGGATCTGGAAGCCTGTGTTCAGACCTGGGGTGTCTCCTATCTCCTTAAAACAGGAGAGACTTGTCAGTGTCAAACTCATTTCACTTTGGATGGCGCTCGGAGGGGGCAGTTACTGAATCACTTCTCACTGTCTACTCTCTGGACTCACACTTCTCAAAACTTGTCCAAGGGAAAGAGATGTGGAAAGCCATGTACCATCTGGCCCCCGTGAGCCATTCTCCAGGCAGACCTAGGCTTGGGGGTTCTTGACTTTCAGGACTCCTCTCCCTGGGTCAGGTCCTGGCTTCTCCTTGCTCCCGGGAGTAGGAGCTCAGGAAAGGTCTCTTGCCCCAGATGGAGGGAGGCTACTTCCAAGTTGTGGCAGCCTTAGCAAGGCAGTACTTACCATACACCTGTAAACGTGTGCGAACTGTTGTTACTTCACATTCCGAGTGAACCACTTGTAGAATGTAGACATCGTTGTCACTGAGGGTGAGGTTGGGAATGAGCAGAGAGCCGTTGGGGAATATCATCTCCCGGCTGTTTTCTGGCTTTTGCACGCTGGTCTTGATGTGGTAGCTGATGATCTGGTTGGAGGATTCTGTTGACTTTCTGTACCAGGTATACCTGCAAGCCGTCTTTGAGAACCCCTGGATGGACAAGGTGACTTCACTGCCCACCTTACCATAGGTAGGGCTTGGCACAACACTGACGGCATCACCTTGAGCAGATGTCGGCTGGATCCAGCAGCTGAAGATGGAGGCTGAGAGAGGAAGAAGGAGGCAGAGATCAGCAGGGTCCCTTACCCTCTTGAGTGACTCAGGTTACTGAGTGGCCCTGTGTAACCAGGGTGAGCATGTGAGTATCTGTTTGTCTCCATCTCTGCAGAAGAGCCAAGCATTTGGTCTTTAACAAAAATCATCCCCAAATTCTACCTAAATGATGATGACCTCTGCATTGGCCACATTGGGACTTGAGTCAGAAAGTGACTGACAGAATATTAGGCCAAATACTGCAGAGAGAATTGGTGAGTAAAATGGTGGGGCTGAAGCTGAAACGGGGTCTTAAATCACAAGATTCAGGACTGGATGGACTCTTAGAGATATCATGGAGTCCAATACCCTCATTTTGCAGATTAGGAAACTGAGGCCCAGAGACTTTAACTGATCTGCCCAATGTCCCACAGCAAATAACAGAGCAACATTTGAACCCAGACCTTCTGGCTCCTGATTCAAGGCCTTTTCTTCTATACCCTGTACATACATTAAAGCTGACAGTTTTACTCTTAAACAGCCCTGAGAGGGAGGTTGGGCAAGAAAAATTCTCCCCATTTATCCAGTGAAGAAATGGGTTTGGAGAAAGTCCGTGACTTGTCCATGGTCATACAGCTGATAAATATCAGAGCTGGGATGTGAATCCATGTCTCCTTTGACTCTATGTTCATCCCTCTGCCTCTGTAAAGATGTCCTGAATCCTCATCTCAGGGTATAGCGCTGAGCTACTAGTTCTATCCCTGCCCCTGGCTCAAGAGAGGCTCTCATGGCTGCATCTGGAGAGATTGTTTCTGGGACAAGCCCCAAGGACTAGTCTGGTGCTTGGGCTGATTCTCTAGTCTGGGCAGAATCTCCCAGACTCTGTCTCTCTCTTCTTGCCACCCCACCTCCTTCATAGAGCTGGTCTCTCACCTGTGATCAGGAGCCCTTTACAGGGGCTGTCTCTCCTGTGGGGAGCTTTTGAGAGACGATCCATAGGTCTGTGCCAGTCACCCTGTATAATTACCCTTGTAGCTCCCAGGAATCTCCACCTCCCTGTCCTGAACTCCAGAGCAGACCCTGAAAGTGTCCTTGCTGGTCTCTAGGCTTAGGGCTGCCTTTGCCTGGGAGCTGGGAGTGGTCTCTGCTTTATTTCCTTCGCCTTCTCTAGGGGACTGAGCCCTTTCTCTTTTTGGGGCTGAAGCTCTACTCTCTGCCGGGATCACATGGGCTTTACAGGGCAGGGACTAGGTCTCTGACTTTCTCCTCCCCTGCCAGTGACTGTGGTTTCCTGCCTCCCCTGGGGAGCCCCTTCCCTGCTCAGATCCCACCCACTGGCTATGGAGAAAGGGTTTTGCCCCCCAGGGGACTAGGTAAAGCTCAGTATTTTCTACTGCTCACTTTTGGTCATACCTGTTGCCCTAGTCTAACTCCAGTTACCTCTTTCCCTTCTAGGCCAGGGAAGGACTGAAGCCTGGACTGAACCCAGAGCCCTAGGAGATCTGGGTTCTTGCTCTGGGCTTCTCCCAGGACCCGCCTGTTAAGCTCCTTCCCTCTATCAGGTCATGCCAGGGTACCCTGGCCCTCCATTAGACACTTTGCTGTGACTTCTGTGAGAGTCCTGTAGGGCAGAGGAGCAGGGTAAGATTGTTGGCAGAATATTAGGGAGTGCCAAATAGAGCTGCCCTTTTCTATAGTGGGGGACAGATGCAGGGTTTTCTCCCTCCTGGAGTGTAAGAGGGGCTTCTCTGGTGAAAATGGAAGGGGCCCAAAGGATTGACACTAGGGACAAGGAGAAGCCTGGGATGTCCATAGGCCTCAGAGCATCTCTGGATGTATGCTCCATGAGCTTCATCCTTGGGCTCCTCCCTAAATTTGGAACTGAGCACAAACTATCATCATCATCATCATCATCATCATCATCAAATAGTTAGCATTTATATAGTGCTTTAAGGTCTGTTAACCTCTTTACAAATATCTCATTTTATTCTCACAACATACCCTGGGCCATAGGTGCTATCATTACACCCATTTTACAGATAAGGAAACAGAGGCAGGAAGAGATTAAATGACTTGCCCAAGGTTACCCAGCTAATAAGTATCTCAGGCAGCATTTGAACTGAGGTCTTTCTAACTCCAGGCTCAGTGCTCTATGCACTGTGGTGCCCCCTAGCTGCTGCAATGCAAATGAGAGTCAGCCCTGACTGATGATATGACTTTAACCACCAGCTAGCATTGATATTCACTTACTGGAGAGGTGCATACTCACCTTGGAGGTCTACTCATGCCTACTACAAAGAAATGCTGAGTTAGTGCCAAGCTGCCTATGGTCTTCAGGGTGTCTTCAATTATCTACACCTCATCTCCATTCCTCTCCATGGAAACAGCATAGACTGTCAGAGTATGTGGATTTGAACTTAGCTCTGAGCCCCCACCCAGGCACAGGGAAACCACACTGTCTTTCTAGAAGCAAGCACCAAGGACATGACCTTGGTGTATTGGCATCTACTCTGAATGGAAGCAGATGGTGTTACAGCAAAGATCAATAATCGATGCCTCAAGTGCTTTGCTTTGCTAATCATTTATCAGCTACAATCAATAGGATAACATAAGAAATAGAGTCCCGGGTAAAAACCTGTGCATAACTGAAGCCAAGATGTAGTCCCCAGTGAATACCTGTGTTAGTTAACCTTGGAAGTGTAACTAAATCATTATTAAGTGTGTATCTTAAGTATGTGACCATAATAATCATACTATATTTTAATTTATCTTTATATTAAAATGATGAAGTAAGAAAGACTGGTAAAGGGTTAATTGGGACATTAAGGAAAGAACAAAGTTAGAATATCATAAAGTTAGAACATAAAAACTTGCAAAATATAATTTTATACCATACATAAATAAGTTTTTAGAGGACTTCGTTGCACCATAATGAATTGAGATATATAAATAATGGTGAATTTTGTCTCTTGGACTCTCAGACTTTACTGGGTTGACTGTAGAACCCACCTTTGTTTCTCTTAAAAAAGGTTGGTTTCTTTCCCCAGAATGGCTTCTCAGTTTTTGTTTTTTTTTTACAGTAGGCAAGCTTGGATTCTGAGTACAGTTTAAAAAAAATTTTTGCGTAAGGCTCGTAAGCTAATAAGCAGCATTCACTGTCAAGGAAATAAGGCATAATAGTCAAGCATTGTGGGCTTGCCTGTCTTCTTAGCCTAGGGAGAGTCCGCCAGACTTATAAGGACCCAGGAATCCTTAGAAAGGATAGTTTGAATCTGCTCCTGAGCCAGCAAAGGACCATGGCGACAACATGGTCCCCACAGCCTATTCAACCTGCACTCCCACTGGGACCCATGATCAGGTGCCAAGGCTGAAGCTCGAGAGGACCTCAAAATCTAGGTATGCCAGCATGAGGAATGGGCTCCTCTGGCTCAGACTGAGTCATGGCATTTAATTTTAGCTGTTTTGTCACTGGCAAAGACCTTGACATCCTCTGCCCGCTGCTAGCCTATCACTGAGTAGACTGAGTGGGTTTAGCCTGCCGTTCCTGCAAAGAGAATGTTGCTGCTGCCGTTATTTACCTTCTGATCTTGACCATTAGCATGACACCCTTCTTCTATAGTGGCATTTCTCTCCTCATTTGCCATCTCTGCTCACCAGTCAGTCAGTCTATCAATAAACCCCACCACTCAGCAAATTGGTCAAACAATGTTTTTTTGGTTTTTTTTTGGCTAGCAGTGGGGTTAAGTGACCTGTTCAGGGTCACACAGCTAGTAAGTGTTATGTGTCAGAGGCTGGATTTGAACTCAGATCCTCCTGAATCCAGGGTCAGTGCTCTATCCACTGCGCCACCTAGCTGCCCCCAAACAATAAGTTTTAAAATGTCTGCTGTGGAAAAAAAATTAAATGTCCACTGTGTGCCAAACACTGACAGGCACTGGGGATACAAAAATAAAGAATGGACCAATCCCCACTCTGAAGAATCTGACATTCTAAAGGGGGAGGGGGATAATAAGTACATATAAAATGTATACCACATAAATTTAAAGTTAATAAATACATACATAGATGATGTATAGTTAATAACCTTGTATACGTATATATGTCTATATGCGTATACAAAGTGGCTGAGGAAGGAGGGCACTAGCTGTAGGTGCACCAGCAGAATATGGTACCTGGACTACATCTTTTTTTTTTTTTATTAATTAATTTACTTTGACTTATCAACAATCATTTCCATAAGCTTTTGAGTTTTAAATTTTTCTCCCCCTCCCTCCCCTCCTACCTCCCTAAGACCATGTGCAATCTGATATAGGCTATACATATACATTCCTATTAAACATATTTTCACATTAGTGATGTTGTAAGGAAGAATTAGAACCAATAGGAGGAACCACCAGAAAGAAGAAACAAAACTCAACAGAAGAGAAAAAAATAGCAAATAGCATGCTTCGATCTGCATTCAAACTCCATGGTTCTTTCTTTGGATGTGGATAGCATTTTCCATCAAGAGACTTTTGGAGATGTCTTAGATCCTTGCATTGCTGAGAAGGGCTAAGTCTATCAAAATTAGTCATCACACAACGTGGATGTACAACATTCTCCTGGTTCTGCTCACTTCACTCAGCATCAGTCCATACAAGTCTTTCCAGGTTTTTCTGAAGTCTACCTGCTCATCATTTCTTATAGCACAATAGTATTCCATTACATTCATATACCACAACTTGTTCAGCCATGCCCCAATTGATGGGCATCCTCTCAATTTCCAATTCTCTGCCAGCACAAAAAGAGCTGCTATAAATATTTTTGTACATGTGGGTCCTTTTCCCATTTGTATGATCTCTTTGGGCTACAGCCCTAAAAATGCTATTGCTGGGTCAAAGGGTATGCACAGTTTTATAGCCCTTTGGGCATAGTTCCAAATTGCCCTCCAGAATGGTTGGATCAGTACACAATTCCACCAACAATGCATTAGTGTTCCAATTTTCCCACATCTTCTCCAACATTTATCATTTTCCTGTTTTGTCATGTTGGCCAATCTGATAGGTGTGATGTGGTACCTTAGAGTTGTTTTGATTTGCATTTCTCTAATCAATAGTGATTTAGAGCATTTTTTCATATGACTATAGATGGCTTTAATTTCTTCATCTGAGAACTGCCTACTCATATCCTTTGGCTATTTATCAATTGGGGAGTGACTTGTATTCTTAAAAATTTGACTTAATTCTCTATATATTTTAGAAATGAGGCCCTTATCAGAGATGCTGGTTATAAAAATTCTTTCCAGCGGGGCTACATCTTAAAAGAAGAAAGAATTTCTATGAGACAGAGGTAAGAGAGGGTGCCTACCAGGATGGGGATGGCCAGTGCAAAGTCACAAAGACAGCAGATGGAGTGTCATGTGTGAGGAATGGAGATAGGGCCCATTTGGCTAGACTGCAGAGTAATAATAATAACAACTAGCAGGTTTGCAAAGCACTTTCTAAACACCATCTTTATCATTATAATAACTCTGGGAGGTAGGTACTATTATTATCCCCATTTTACCAGTGGGGAAACTGAGGCTGAGGGAAGTTAAGTGACTTGCCCAGGACCAAACAGCTATTAAGGGTTTAAGGTAGGATTTGACCTTGGCTCTTCTTCTATCACTGCTCCATTTTGTTGAATATAGGAGGGGAGAAAAGGAGTAACAGCCAATGAGGCCAGAAAGATACTTTAAAGCCAGGTTGTATATGGCTTTTAAAGCTAGGCAGAGAACTTTATATCTTATTCTGGAGGTAATAGGAAGCTACTGGAGTTGGTTGAATGGTGGGTGGGTGTGAGGAGTGTGTCACACACTGAGATTTACTCTTAAGGAAAGTTACTTTGGTTTGTTGAATGGATTGGAATGGGGAGAAGCAGAGAGACTAATTAGGAGGCTGTTGCAATAAGCTAGGTGACAAGTGATGGAGGTCCAAACTAAGATGGAAACAACATGAGTAGAGAGAAGGGGTTGGATATCAGAGACGTTGTGAAGGTAGAAATGAGACATGGCAACTGATTGGAAATGTGGGTTGAAGTAGAGTGAGGAGTTAGCGATAATACTCAGATTACAAAACTGAGAACTTTTTCCATCTCCTCCCTGTAAAACATTTTTGGTCCCTTGCAAATACACAGGTTA